GGGCCCGTGGGGGCAGGAGGCAGAAAGAGTGACGGTGCGTGGGCCCCTGATGACTTGGAGGAGTGGCCATCCCCGGCGGAACTGCCACCTCAAGTCTCCGTGCGTTTCCCCTCCTGTTATTCTGATAAAGCTGACTCTTCTCCCTGCCAGGGGCACTGTCCTGCACCTGTGCAAGTCAACAGGCCCCCCCAAACTCCTTCAGAAAAGGGTCCGTTTCCTGAGCACCTCCTGAATGTCCTCCTGTACATCCTCTATTTGCTGAGCTGCCACTTTTCAGTTGGGGAAACTGAGGTCACCAAGAGCCAGGGCTCCGATACAGGCCACTGTGGGTACTATTGTGTTTTCCAGTCCTCCACCCACATTCTTGGTAGCAGACAAGTGATGGGCAGCACCACAGGTTGAAAGGAAATGCACACAAGAGAAAACTTTCATCTGAAGTAGCTGGCTCTATTAAACTCAGTGTTAATCGGGGACATAGGGAAAGGCCCCATTGTTGGTTCCCCAGGGGGGAATGTCTTGGTCCCACCTTGCAGGCTTCACTGGGGGCATCTGTGACAGTCGTGAGAACTGTACTCTGTGCTTTATTCACTTCTCTCCCGACCATCCTATTATCCGAGTCTCACAAAGGTCCCATAGGGCAGTAGTAACCGTGCTGTCTCAAACCTTCTGAGGAGCAGGGCGCCTGGCTGGCCCAGTCGGTTAAGCGTCCGACTCTTGAGCTCAGGTCACGATCTCGGGGTTGGCTCTGCGCTCAGTGGCGAGTCTGCTTGAGAGTCTGTCTCTTCCTCTCCCTCTGCCCTTCCACCCCACTCGCACGCACACTCTCTCAAATAAAATAAAATCTTTTTTAAAAAGCCTTCTGAGAAGCAAAGGGCATCTACATTCCAGATAAGTCCCAGGCCCAGGAGTAAACATCCTTATTCAGAATGACTGCTGCCATATTCAGAACTTGTCTGTCTCCTGTCCCATCCCTCGAGGTCTTGCTCAGGAACAGCTGTCTTGTCCAATATACATGTTCTACTATGTGAGTGAAGGCTAATGGCTTCATCTTGTCCCTGGGGTGGCATATAAATATTTCCCAGGGTCTTCTGGAGTTGTCTTTAAGGGGTCATCATCATCATCATCATCATCATCATCATGATCCTGATACTGCCACTAAAAACTGTAAACCAGGCAATGGCGAGAGCTTTCCTAGGTCACCTCAAACACTTCTCTCATCAACTTAATGGAGAAGGAAGGAAAAGTGTATTCCCACTTTACAGATGAAGAAACTGAGGCCCAAGTGATAAAGTGAGTTGCTCAAAGCCATTCTGCTTATTCATGGTTGAGCTGGGATTTGAACCCAGACTCTGCTGGTTCCCAAGGCCAAGATCATGACCCTCTGTTGTGTTGCCATAGAAAAAGGTATTGAGGGGTGCCTGGGTGGCTCAGTCAGTTGAGCCTCTGACTCTTGGTTTCAGCTCAGGTCATGATCTCAGGTGCCCTGCGTTGGGCTCCAGGCTCAGTGGGGAGTCTGCTTGGGGATTTTCTCCCTCTTCCTCTGCCCCTCCCCCTGCTCTCTTTCTATCTCTCAAAATAAATAAAATAAATCTAAAAATAAGAAGGAGGAGGAGGAAAAGGAGGGGGAGAAGAGGAAGGTGGTATTGAGGGGCTAGGCTGGGCCGTCTTCATCCTCCAAGGAGACGTGACCTGCCCAGTGTTCCAGCAGAGTAAGGAAAGAGAAGGCATAATGATCCTCACGTGCACCACCCCCTTCTGTCAGCCAACTCTGGTCACAGCATCCGTTCGTGTATCCCCACAACAGCCACATGAGGCAGGAACTGTCCTCTCCCTCTTGCCAGTGAGGAAACTGAGGCTCAGAAGAGGGATGTGACTTGCCTGAGACCACAGAGCTGATGGAGGGCCGGGCCCCACCTCGTGCGTGTCCAGGCTCGAGCCCCCAGGCCCCAGGCTCCCCTCGGACACCTGGGTGGGGTGGCCTAGCACGCACCGGAAGCAGGTCCATGGCGCCAAGGACAAGCCTGCTTGTCGCACACAATGGGGGAAATTCCAAAAGTTCCTTGGGGTGGCTCAGGTGTGGCCCGGCCGACCATCCTCCTGACGCACGCTTTTCCTCTTCCTCCTCCCGCCACCCCAACAACAACCAGAAGCGGGGTCCCCTCCCTTCCTGAAAACCCTGCTCCCCTTGGCCGTGCAGCCTCAGGGCTTTTTTTCCACAAACAGCCACTTCCATCCATCTCTGTCTGGGGGCCTGCGGGGCCTGGAGGGGGAAATGCTGACTTTGAGGAGGTTAAAGGTGCTGGTGCCCGGCCTTCAGCTAACAAATGGGCTGCCGTGAGGGGAGGGACTGTTGTTTTTTCCTGGCCTCTGAAGAGGGGCCTGTCAGGAAGATGTAGAGGCCAGCAGGCCCCCGGCCGCGCCCCGCGGGGCGGCTGATAGACGCGGGCAGCTGCGCGGGCGCCGGGGTGCAGGGGGGTGCTGGGCCCAGAGGAGCGCACTGCACCCCTGCCGTGCCCCTCTCGCTGCCCCCCTGACCCCTGGGCCCACCCCTTCCAGGGGCAGCGGCTGGGCCTCCCCAGGCCGGGCCTCCCTGCGACTGGGCTCCCCCAGGCCAGCTGCAGAGGAGGCCGGAGCAGGAGTCCGGTTACAGCCGCGGGGCCAGGCCCCCCGGGAAGGTTTTCCTGGGGAAGCTGACAAGCCAGGGCTTCCTCCCAGCCTCCTGTGGATTCTTCTAGCGCCCCCACAGCCTGGAGCCCCTCGAGGGACTGCACGAGGCTATGCGGTAGAATTGGCTCAGTGCTCCTCCCTCACAGTCTCTTTTTGGAATCCTTGAGTTAAGGAGAACAAGATAGGCAAGGGAGGAACCATGTTTATCTGTCACCTACTCGGAGCTCCCCGTCCCAGAAATGACTCCTTTAGGTGCTCAGATGTTTGTGGGGCGGGCATTCCGATGCAGCAGGGCCGGGCTGCTCGGGGTTTAGAATCCTGGGTCCTCCACCTCCTGGCTGTGTGTCCCTGGGCAGGTTACCCAGCCTGTCTGTGCTTCCGAGTCCTCTTCGGAAACACGGGGCTGATGAGAAAAGCGCCTGCCTCACAGGGCTTTTGTGGGGATTCCTTGGGGGAATGTGTGTGAGGTGCTGAGGTCACTGGGCGAATGTCAGCGAGGACTATCATCCCAGAGGAGGAAACAGAAGCTCAGAGAGATGGGGTGACGTGTCTCAGGGCACGCAGTTGGGAAGTGGCAGAGCCAGGATTTGAACCTGCACCTGTCGAACCCCACAGTCCACGCTCCTTCCTCTGTGTCAAGCTCCCCAGAGGGGATGCCTGAGGGCGACTCCTGGTTCTGCCTTTTCTTAGCTGTGTCCTTCTGAGCTAAGCCTCATTTTCATTTGTAAAATATAGAACATAATTCTTAATTTACCCATGATAGGAGAGTCATGAGATCCAGAGGAGAAATGTGTGTGTGGGGCGCCTGGGTGGCTCAGTTGGTTAAGCGACTGCCTTCGGCTCAGGTCATGATCCTGGGGTCCCGGGATCGAGTCCCGCATCAGGCTCCCTGCTCAGCAGGTAGTCTGCTTCTCCCTCTGACCTTCCTCCATCTCATGCTCTCTCTCTACCATTCTCTCTCTCTCTCAATAAATAAATAAAAATCTTTAAAAAAAAAAAAAAAAAGAAATGTGTGTGTGACAGCTAAGTCCCGGGCAAAGCAGAGAGATGAGTCTGGTTCCAGGCAGTGATGCCGTCCTCCCTCCTGGCCTCCAACACCCTGCCCGTTCCAGAAGCCCGATGCCAGTTTCATGAAGAGTGTGTGTGCAGCCTCCAGGCTGCAGGGCTGAGGCCCGTGGGCCCTCCTGGCGTCTTTGGAACCAGCCAGCACACAGTTAGGTCCGTGCCCATTTCGGCCCTGATCCTGTTGCTCTGGGCCGTGGAAAGATTCAGTGGGAGGGGAGCTCTGGCCCGTGTGCTTGGAATGTCATCCTCCCAGAAATTATATTAACCCTCCTGAGAGACCCCAGGGTGTGGGGATCAAGTAGACTGATGGACCGACTGAAATGGCAGTTGGCCCGCCTGGTGACAGGCACTGGCCAGGAAGACCATGTGATCGTTTGCCAAAGAGAACTCCTTTGGGAACGAGAATCCCCCTGATTCCTATTTCCATGCCCCAGATTTCACAGGAGCCGTGGCCTCGGGGGCTGGGGTAGGGGAAGCAGGTGGGTGGAGGTGAGGGGGCCTGGAGAAACTTCAAGAACCTTATCTAAGAGCCTTCCCTTTGCCGTGGAGAAAAACGACTTGAAACCCCCCTAGAGAAGAGTGTGGCTAATTGGCATGTAAGTCGGGGTTAAAGAACGGAAGGAAGAATCTGATTGTTTTTTTAAGTTACTGAGAAAGTGAGAATGTCGCTTTGGGCTGAGAGAAATAATGTTTTTCTGGAGTGCGTCTTTCTTTATGCTACAGACCCTAGTGGGCCGCTGAGACCTGCAAAAAAAAAAAAAAAGATTTCTTTTAATCCACCTTCCTCTTTGCAAGCAGCAGTAGAAGGGCCTTTAAATCAAATGCAATCAGCAAACTTGTCTCTTGCACTTATTCCCTGCTTCACTCCCTGGAATTTGGCACTTGACGGATTCTGGATCTGACTTAAGGCTTTTTCCAAATCCAAGACTTGGGGCATTTTGTTAACTGTGCAATAAAATAACTTCATAGCGTAGAAGAGGCACATTAAAGAAGTGGTGTGTGTGCTGCTGCTCTCGCTCCTTAAAATGAAAAAAAAAGAAATACAGACCATGTTTCTTTAAAAGTCTCCATCTGCAAATCCCATTAGATGTGCATATAAGGTTTCTGATGATTAATAGTTGCCTGCTCGGGTTTTGGTTGGAGGGGACCGTGTGTGTGCTGCTTAACCCCTCCCTCTCCTCTCTCACGTTTCACTTCAGAAATTTGTCACTCTCTCCCCACCGCAGGATTTAAAAGTGTGTCTCACAGCCCCCGGGCCAGCCCTCTGCAGGCATTCGCCCGGGGCTCCAACACAAGCACTCGTCAGCTGGTGCGTCTGGGTGGCGACAGTGAAAATGTTTAGTGTCATCGGCGACAAATACACGTCCAGGGGACCCCAATAGGCGGGCTGGTGTGGTGGGGGGGGCGGGGGGACAGGCAGGAAGCCAGGAGTTGAAGTCTGACATAGGTGTGTGCACACACATCCGTGTAGCTGGTCACACGTGTGCATACTTGAAGGAGACTTTGGTTTTGGTTTTTGTTTTGGTTCCCAGGGTGAATTTTCTGCTGAATCGTTCCCCCTCTTATTTATTTATTTATCTTTTTTTTTTTTGCATTTTTAAAAAATTTGAATATAAACAAAGTGTAAGAATCCAAACTTTGAAAAGACTGAGGCGCGCGCAGCAGGAGACGCAGATGGATCCCGTGGCCAGCAGCTGCATGAGGAGCCCCCACCCCCCAGCCCCGGGCTGGGGCTGCCTTCGAAATCCCCGCGCAGAAGGCACTGGGGGCTCAGGTCTGCCCCACTACCCGCCAACACCGTTCTCCTTCCACCAGAAACCAGACTTTCCGGCGACAGCAGCGGCAGCGTACCCCGACTTCTCGGCCTCCTGCCTGGCAGCCACCCCACACAGCCTTCCCCGGGAGGAGCGCCTCTTCACTGAGCAGCACCCCGCTTTCCCACAGCCCCCGGACTGGAACTTCCCCGTCTCCGAGGCCCGGCGCAGGCTCAACCCGGGCCCAGCCGGGGGCTCCGGGGAGATGGGGGCCAACAGCCCGGGCCTGGTGGACACGACGGGAGGCCCAGGTGAGGACTACGAAGTCCTCGGGAGCACTGCCCATGAGACAGAGAAGAAGTCAACCAGACGGAAAAAGGAGAGTCCAGGTATGTGACCGAGGAGCAGCTGAGCGTTCCTTTGCTACGTTGCTTGCCCTCTATGAGTCGAGCTGCCCTGACCATGAATTGCAAACGATATTATCTAATCTACCCAAACGCAGGAGTTGCCTTTGGGGTTTCTTCTACTCAGAGTTCTAGGATTCTCTGGTCATGGAGGCTGTATCTGTGCCCCCAGCACTCCCAGACCCCAGGAAGGTTATGCCAGCAAGTGAATGAAATAAGATCCACAGAGATTGGGAGGACACATGGGATGGAGGCTCGCTGCGGGCTGGCAAGGGCTGGAGAGGGGCTTTCCTGCATCTGGGCTGCCTCCAGGTCATGCTTCTCCCCACCGAGCCCCAGCAGGCTCCAAATGGTCCCAGAGCCAAAGGGCTTGCTCACCGGGGGAGTCAGATGAGATGGGAGCTTGGAGGGCTAGGACGGACGCTGGGACCCCAGGGCATCAAGCAGAGCCAGGACCCTCTGTCTCTAGGATCCTAGAGGCAGAGAAGCAGACGGCTGGATGGGAGGGGCAAGGGCGAAGAGGAGATGGGGTGCAGAGATTTGGGACAGACTGCCCCCGAGGTGTCTAGCATTCTGCCCGTGTCTGAGCCAAGAGGGCAGCTCAGCGTGCTAAGGTCTGGGCGACCCCCAGGGAAGGCATTCCCTCCCCGCCCCGAAGGGTCCTCCTGAGGGATCACCAGCCTTGGGAAAGTCAGGGAGGCAGGCAGCCAAGGAGACCCAGAGGCCAGAGGATGGAACGGCCTGCTTATTAAGATCCCAGCTCCTGTCCGTCTCCTCCCTGTGGTGGGGACTGGTTTCCTCATCTCTCCATGGGACCCTCCTGGTTTCTCGTGCCGCCCATTCACCTTCTGTCTGGTTCCCTGTCCCCACCTTGCCCCCCGTGTCCTCCTGAACCCATAGAGAACTTTCCTCCCAGGGCTAACCAGGGGCGGGCAGAAAACGAGAGTGTCAACCAACCAACGAGAACACTCTGTGCTTTGATTTTGCAGAACACTTTCCACGTAGCACAGGTTTCCCGAGCATCTTCTCTTTGCGGAGCACTGGCCAAGGCCTGGGGGGGGGGGGGGCGGGTTGCAGAGATGACTATGGAGTTCTCACCCGCAGAGGGCTCAGACTAAGAGGGAGGAGAGGCCTGCAGATGCCTGTCTGGCAGTGGATGTGCTATGGACAGAGAGGGGGGTTCAAGGTGCTGCAGGAAACACACGTTAGCTCTTTGGGGTCCCACCACTGTGCGAACTAAGCACAGCGGGTCTTACCAGTATCTCTGTGCTGTACGTGTGGAAAAGCAGAGACAGAGTTTGAGGAGGACCCTGACACAATGGGGTCTAGAGAGCACCCCACTCATCTGGATTGGCTCAGGACTTCTCTGTGTTTAGCCTTGAAAGTCCAGTGTCCCAGGAAACCCCTCGGCCCCGGGGCCAATCAGGACAGTTGGTAACCCCGGGATCAAGCTCAAATCCTGGACCTCAGACCCCAAATCCCACACCCTTCAGCAGATTTCAAGCATAATCCTCATTTTGAAATATTTGGTCTCCACGCTTAAAGAAGCCCCTCTCTGTGCTCACAATGGATGGCCACAGCCTAATAGGAGGGCCCTTTAAGTCCCCAGCTGGTTAAATCCTCAACTCTTCCTAGCCCCTGCTGGAGATGTGCCGAGATGGGGCACTTTCTGCTTCTCCTCACCGAGGGGCTCTCAGCGACTTGGCTCTGCGCCTGGCTGAAGAGCTCTCCCTGCCGGGGCGCCTGCCCCGTAGCTCCTCCATCTCTGCCCACACTTCCCTTGGCCATATCCAGACACTTTCCAGGGACCTGGGAGCCGAGGCACCGGAAGGCACAGGCAAAGGACTGGGCTTAGGCACAATCATTCTGCGTTCCAGCAAGCCCCACATGTGCCTTCTTTCCTTTGGGTCGGTGGCCTGTGGCACTGCGTTAGGGAGCGAGCTCACGTGCCAAGCAGCTGGCCATCCCAAGAGCACGTGGACTCCCTCCACTGAATGTCCTGCAACTCTTCGGGGCGGGGGGGTAGTTCTTATCCAGGAGCGGTCCTGGGCTCCCCCTCCGCATCCCCTCAGGAGCAGCGGCAACGGCAGCAGTCAGGCAGGGCACAGCAAGCTGAGTTTCATTCATTCTCTGGGGTTCCAGACCCGCTCTCTGTTCAGCACGAGAATCTTTCTGTCCCAGCTAGTTGCCTGAGCCTTCCTTTGGAATTGAACTGGAGAGGGCGGAGGCAGGAAAGATTAGCTTCGTAAGAGCCTGAAGGAAGGGAAAAGCAGAGGAGCAAGGCCCCCAACCAACCCTAGGAATCTGGAACCCAAGAGACAAACCCACAAAGAACCCCCATCCCACTCCACCAATTCCGAGCCACCTCGTGGAGTCTCTATTTAAACTTTTGATGTTTTGTTCATCATGGATTTTTTGCATTAACTCTGATTTCTTAAAACATTGCATTAAAAATATTATTCCACTTGATGACTGAGGGGTTTGACACCACTTGCATTTTGCGCCCAACGTGAGCGCCTCACACGTCTCACCCTGGCCCGTGCTAAGCTGTCTCTGAAGGTTAACCAGCCATCGATCGGAAATGTGTTTTCCATAGTTCTTCACGGGCAGGCCGGCAGGTTGGCATGTCAGCACCACAACCATGGGACTTTGGAAAACTTCTTAATTTCCTGGGGCCTCCATTTTCCCAGCTGTAAAACGGGATTCGAACCAAAGTACCTTCCCTACAGTCACTGTGAAGGTTAAAGGCAGTGATCCGTGAGATCAGCCCTGTGCCTGGCATGTGGGTTCAATAAATGGCAGCTGTGTTATTAGGCCCATATTTCCAGAACCAGACTTCAGAACATGTTGGGGGGGGGGGCGGGTGGTCAATGGAATTGAATTTTTCCAAATACGCTGACTCAGAAATTCCTGAATCTGGGGTATAAGACATGGGAACTCCTTGCAATTATTGCTGGTCCTCAAATCCAGTTGTCGTCAGTTAGGAGCTTGGAACCAAGAGACCTGCTGGAGAGGTTGGGGGATGAGGTGTGCTTGGCGAAAGGGTCCTGTACTAGCAGGCCGAGGAGGCTCCAGCAACAGAAAGTTACTGAAAGTTCGTCTCAAGAGGAACGTTCTCTAGTCTCCCCTCTCCTTCGGCCAGCGCCAGCTGCTCCCCTGTCATTCCCACTGGAAGTGGAGCTGATTTGCTCAAGTAAATGATGAGGAAAGCAGGGGTCCCTGGCTTCTGCTCAGAGACCTTCTGTTGGTTCACAGCACAGAACTGATTTAGGAGACCAGTGTGATGTTATCTCACTGCAAACACTCCCAGCCCCTGGCCCAGGGGTGTCAAAGAGCCCTGCTGGCAGGGACAGCTGCGAGGCCACTCTTGTTTGCCCCCGATCTGTCCATCTGTCTGGCTACCGTGGTCGTCTTTAATTTATGGGAATGAGGGATTTCTCGGTGATTTCCTGGCGGGGTTCAAGGGAAGGTCGCGCGTGATCCGCCTGGCTGCAGGTGAATCCGATCGCCCGCCAGGGAGAGCCCCCTGTGCTTGGGCTCAGCCCTGCTCCCTGGTGCTCTCACGTACTCCCTCTGCCTTCCTCAGACTCGGCTTGTCAGTCTCCTTCGTCTCCAACACGTGTGCCTCCCCAGGCTTATCCTTCCCTGATTTCTCCCCTGCAAGACGTGATCCCCACCTGCCCCTGTGCAGCCACACAAACTCCCAATTTCTCCTGAGGTTTAAAAACCCTCCCCAGATCGGCCCCTTTCTCCCACCTGCTCTCTGCCACCCATAGCGCCCCCCTGCCCCCCCACCCAGCCTTCCCACCTCTACCCTCCCTGCCACGAGCCACATGGGGTTCACTTGCCCCACAAACACACCCCGCTTTTCTCTCCCCTCAACCCCATTCGCTGAAGCACTTTCCCTTCCATCCCTCCCCCCGCCACTCCTCTGCCTATGGAAGTCCTTATTTTAACATCCAGCTCAAAAGCCACCCTCTCCAAGGATCGTTCTTCTCTTTTTTTAAGTGTATGGCTCCGCTTGCCCATAGCATCACTGCAGTGAAAGCCGTTGAAAAAGTTGCAAGTCTTAGTATCCACTAGAACTTGTGCTGATTTTCTAAATAGGTAGCTCATAACTTCATAAAGGAGTTCTTCTGAGATTTCTTACCATGGGACATCTTGTATTTGAAATCTCCTCCTTAAAAATGATGATCAGGGGCGCCTCACTGGCTCAGTCAGTGTCGTGTGTGACTCTTGATCTCAGAGTCGTGAGTTTGAGCCCCACGTTGGGTTTAGACATTATTGAGAAATAAAATCTTTGAAAAAGTAAATAAGTAAAAATTATGATAAAAGACACATAACACAAAATTTACCATCATGATCATTTAAAAAAATTTTTTTAAAGTTTTCTTTATTTAAGTTATCTCTACACCCCACATGGGGCTTGAACTCATGACCCCGAGATCAAGAGTCATGTGCTCCTCCAGCTGATTTTTAAGCATATGGTAAAGTAGCGTTAACTATATGCACATTGTCCTGCAACAGATCTCTAGAACTTTTTCATCTTATAAAACTGAAACCCTATATCTATTGGAAAACAACTCACCTTTTCCCTCTCCCCCAGGCCTGACAAATAGCGATCTATGTTCTGTTTCTTAGAATTAGACTACTTTAGGTTGCCAGTCTGCCCCAGGCTTCGCAGGGGTGGTGGCCAGAGCAAGGCTAATGTGGGACTGTACCATGATATTGGATGAGGAGTAAATCTAAACAGAACACAGAGTAACTTTAGGCCAAAGATAAACCCTTCTCACTTTGTCTTTTAATAGCAAGTATTATTAAAGACTGATCTAAAAAAGAGTTAGACTACTTTAGAAATTTCAGATAAGTGGAATCATGCAATATTTGTCTTTCTGTGATTGACTTATTTTACTTAGCATAATGTCCTCCAGGTTCATCTGTGCTGTAGCAGAGAACAGACTTTCCTTTTTTAAGGATGAATATTA